AAAAGCAAAAGAAAAACTCCTTCATTGGTAGTGTGGTTTTTAAAAATACTCTTTAGAATTCTGGTCATTGAAGGGGGGGAAATACAAAATAATGAAATTCCATAAAACTTTCAGTTTAATTAGAAAGACAAAACTTACCCCTAGAAAGGACTTTAAAACACAGAGCCAAACACATATCCTTAGGAATTAACCTAACATAAAGAAGTTTAATACAACCTATTACCCTTAGGAGAAAGGAAGAATGAATAGAATTAAGTGGTTAATAATATACTAAGCAATCCATTCTCCTAGACACTGAATTTTTTTAGCCTCTGTCTACATTTTTAAAATATGTATTTAAAAATGCATATATAATTTAATAATAATGTATAATGTCATTAAGTGTGAGATACTGAAGTATCTCTGTCAGTTTCCACTAGACCATGTTGCTGTTGTTATGTACCATCAAGTCAGGACTGATTCATAGCTGCCCTTACAGCAGATTTTCATAGTCAGTAAATCATATGGGAGAAAATTATCCATTGTTTCCCTTAGAGCAGCTGGTGGATTTGAACTGAGTGTCTTTGGGTTGACAGCACAGCTCCTTACCATGAGGCCACCCAAGCTCCCTCAGAAGCATGCTGTTATTCCTGTTGTTGTTGGTATGTTCCATCAAGTCAAATACCCTGTGAACAACAAATCTGAACCTTGTGTTATCCTGTGCCATCCTTATCATCTCTGACATACGTGAGCCCTGTTATTTATGCCTTTTGGCACATAATAAATTTGCTGCTGCTGCACAATTAAACCATTTTGCTTAATGTGATTAGTTAATTTTAGAGATGATGTGTTTTAGGACACTCTGAAAAATAATGTTTTAAGTAGTTTGTCAACAAGGAACAAATAATGCTATTCCATTCCCATCCCATTCTTTCCTTCAGCTCTCTGTACCCGAGTACATCTCCATCTGAAAATTTTAATATATGGATCACCTTAAAAAGCAGAGAACATCTCTTGAGGGGTTATGCATTTGAGGGATTTAGTTGATGGCAGTATGAAACTGGGACAGCAACTTTCAGTCATCTAACAAAGTCATTTAACAGTGAAAGGACTTTTAATGCTAACATGAGAAAGAAAGCTGTATGATGTTCCTGAAGTCATGACAATGTCTCATCATGAAACAGGTAGCTATTGCTCTAGGTTGAAGAAATTATAATCCTTCTTAGAAGTGAAAGGGTACATGAGGTGACATGTAGAAAGCTTTGCCTCCTAAATATTGACTATGTATTTGGCTTGCAGAAGAGAGCCTAGACACTGTCTTTCTACACTTTGCTTTGGATTTTCCAGGATGTGAAGCTACAAAGGTACTTACCTTTCTTGTTGGCATCATAGGATGCAATGATTAGACTGAAGAATAAGATGGTATCCATGTTAGCTTGAGCACATACTCCTTGAAGAAGCAGTAAACTGCTAATCTCTTACAGCCTCTTATAGTCCTGGAGCCAGGTTTGACTGTGGTTCCACCCTGATTATTTTACCCATTTCCTGAAGGAGCAGGAATAGAGCTGATTGGAGAGAGGACCAATTCTGCTTATTAATGATTGACTCAAAGCTCTTCCCCTGACTTGGTTGCTGGTGCCAGCAGAGAGAATTGTAATTATCTAGAGGTTTCCCTGGCAGAAAGGGCATTAACACCTAGTGATAGCTTCACATATACTTGCTGAGAGACACGTAGACATTCATATGCATGCTCATTAACACAGATATATAGATTTATATAACAATTTGAAGATATGTGGGAACTTCAGTTAAAGAATGTGAGCTATTTGTTTTATCTCTGTGTGTGTTGGTAATATAAATCCTTATAAAGAATGTGAGCTATAGCATAAAACAGGGAAGTAGGACAGAATGTATCAGTGAGTCACACTGAAAAGCACTAAATTAAATATCTATAGAATTTGGTTCTAATACCAATCCTGTTAACACTTCACCTTAGGAAAAGAAATTTACCTCTCTGATTTCAGTTTCCTCCCTGTAAGTTAAAAGTTGCAAAAAAAACCTACAACCAAGAGAGAATAAAATAGATGAATGGGACCTTCTAATAATAAAATCCTTATGCACATCAAAAATCTCCAACAGGGTAAGAAGGAGACCCGCAGACTGGGGAAAAATATTTAGCAATCACATATCTGATAGGAGACTTATATCTAAAATTTAGGGAGTACTCCAATACCTCAACAAGAAAAAGGTAAACAACCCAGTCATAAAATGGGCAAGGGATAAGAATAGACACTTCATGCAACAATGAATGAATGGAATTCCAAAATCTCTGTAGATGTTCATTGAAATGAAAAATAAATAAATTAAAATATTAAAAAAAAGACTAGACACTTCACCAAGGAAGACATTCAGATGGCAAACACACACATGAAGAAATGTTCAAAATCCCTAGCTATCAGAGAGATGCAAATCAAAACAACTATGAGATACTATCTCACCCCAGTAACAATAGCAAAGTTCAGCAGGGCAGCAAACAACAAATGCTGGTGAGGTTGTGGAGAGATTGGACTTCTTATTCATTGCTAGTGGGAATGTAAAATTGTATAGCCATTGTTGAAAGTGGTCTGGTACTTTCTCAAAAAGTTAAAAATACCTTTTGACCCAGCAATTCCATTACTGGGAATATACCCTTAAAAAACCATAGCCATGACTGAAACAGTTGTATGCACTCATTCACAATAGCAAAGAGATGGAAGCAATCAAGTGCGCATTAACAAACAAATGATAGGGAAAACTATGGTACATTCACACAATGGAGTATTACAAAACACTGAAAAACAGTGAGCTCATAAAACATTACACAACATGGGGGAGCCTTGAAGACATTATGCTGAGTGAAATAGTCACAAAAAGACAAACTCACTGCATAACACTGCTGCTATTGAAAAGGACACACATTGGGGGATTAAGGAGAGAATAGGAAAAGAGTGGATACATAATGAACACTGCATTAGAATAGATGAGGGGAAGAACTGAAAGGAATGTATGATTAGGCATTATATGCATGACAGCAATCTGAAAAAGGAGTGTATTACTGAAAAAGGTGGGCTGGGGTGGGGAAGGAAATGTGCAACAATGAAAAGAACACAATGTTTTTAAAATTTGCAAACAAGTAATCTCTAGAATTTATTTGCTGCTGTACACATGAACTCACTTCAGCACAGGTATACTGTTTTAGTTTTGCACATTTCACACTCTACTGAATAAAGAAGGGAGCTCTGGCAGGTTAGTGGTAAGGAATTGCACTGCTAGTGTGAAGGTGTGCACTCTAATCCACCAGCTGCTCTGCCTGAGAAGGATGGGTAGACTCCTCTTGTGTGATTTACTGCCCCTGAAAACTGGCTGGTTCTGACTCAGTGGTGTAAACAACAATAACAACATTGAATAAAGAAATGAACATGACTGCAGAGTTAGGAATAGTGGGTCTGTCAGCAATTTGGGGAAGTTTTCCTAGGTAGATAACTGTTATTGAAGATATTTTTGATACATTTATCTTGTTATAAATATACATTATATTATACATATGGAGTCATGTTCTATAGACTCTATGATGGCATAGGTTGTGTTGTTTCTGTTATGTGCTGTCATGGCAGACCCTCCCATAATCTTTTTCAGAGGCTGTCAATCGCACAGAGTGAGATGACCCGTCTTTCTACCTTGGAATGACTGCTGGATTCAGACTACCCGCCTTTTGGTTAGCAGCACAACTCCTTACCCACTAATCCACTGAAGCTCCCTGATGGTATAGCAAGGTGGATTTTAAAGCAGATATTAAAACCTACTCAAATGTAATCTTTCTGCCTTATTGATATAAGAGGATTTAATTCAATGAACATTCCATGAGGGAGTTCATGAAGTATAAGGCAAATCATAATTAGAAATACTGTCCTTGTTTTCTGACATTTTAATATAGATTGAAATCTGACTAACATGAGCATCAGAGGACATCTTGGTAAGTATTGGAAAAAAAAAGATATGTCATTAAAGGGGGTTGCATGTTCCCTGAAATGTAGAAGAAGAGAGAAAGTGCTAGAAATCTAGCCCCAGTGTCATTTATTCATTCACTCAACAAGTGTTTATTGAGCATGTACTGTGTGACAGGCACTGTTCTGAGATAAACAACAACAACCACCACAAAAACAACACACAAAACAAAACCAAAAAACACCAGAATGGCGGTTACGGGAGCCAAGAGATGAAAATATTTCAAATATGGGTGATTGGTCAAATGCTAGTAGATGGTTATAATAATAATAGAATTCACTGACTTTTGACTCTTTTATTATGACAATGGAGAAGAGGAAATACCAGTAGGATAAAATGAGTTAGAGAAGGAGTTTTTAAAAACAAAATTCTGGAAAAGGAACAACAACAAAAAAAAAAGTGAGGGCACTGACTGATAGGGATATAACATGTCTCAAGACTTTATTGACTTAAAGCAGCTCTGTCTTACTCCTTTTCTCTCCTACAATTGCCTGTGGCTGATTCTGTCAGAACAGAATAACACAGTTATTAGGGCACAACACAGGACCTCCATTAGCTTTTGTGTATTTCATGAGTTTTGAATACTATTACCTTAACGTGATTTTATGCTCCCCTGTGAGCTCAGATACAGTTCTTTTGTCAGATTAATTGAAATTTTCTGTAGATTAGTTCCTAGATGCCACATGACCATGCTGCCACCTTGGTGCTGGGCAACAGCAGAGGACTTGTTGTTCTCATTCTATGTCACAAGGTGGCAGAAGAGCTCACTATACACAAAAGAGACTTGCGTTTGTACAAAGTGAAAAGAAGAGATCTCCTTTAACGATGCTTAGAACCTTCCCTTTGTGACTCAGAGGCCCAAAAGTTACCCTGCATGTGGAACAGATCATACTGGGGGATACAGGAAATAAAAAGACCCAGATGAAACTAGGATTAAAAGGATAAATCGTCCCAGGTGTGCAGGAGGAGCACTTGACAGGAAACCAGGAGGCCTACCTGCGTTTTAGATTAGGCCTGTAATTGACTCACTTGGAGCTAGTCACTTCACTTTCCTGGGACTCTGTTTCAGTTTATTTAATGAGGAAGGCTGACTTCAAAGTCCTCTTCCAACTCTAAATTGATCTTCTTAAAGAGTTGCCATACTCTGCTACCCACCTTTTTGAGAGTGTATGATTTTCATTTGTTTTGACCTATGTTTTAATTTTTTTTAGATTGTAGATTACATTATCCATACACAGGGTATGTAGAACATAAGTATACTTTAAATGGCGGTGGTAATAATAATGTGAATACTGAGTAAACATTACCCATATTAAGAAATTGGATAGACGAATTTGTAAACTCCAGAGTGAGATCCTGCCTGCCTGAGGTTCCTGCTTTGTAGAAGCCCTCGGGGTGAAGCCACCATCATTGTCTGACCAAGAGGCAAAACCTTCAGCTGAGGACTTGGGGATCAAGAAAGAAGGAGACTACATCAGACTCAAAGTCACTGGACAGGGTAGCAGTGAGATTCACTTCAAGGTGAAAATGAAAACACATCTCAAGAAACTCAAAGAATCATACTGTCAGAGACAGGGGGTTCCAGTGAACAGGGGGTTTCTCTTTGAAGGTCAGAAAATTGCTGATAATCACACTCCAAAAGAACTGGGAAGGGAGGAAGAAGATGTGATTGAAGTTTATCAGGAACAAACGGATCATTCAACAGTTTAGATAACCTTTTAATTTTTTTTCTTTTCCCTTAATCCTTTTTTATTTTTTTTTTCATTGTTGCACAAAAAATTTATTCTTTTTAAAATTCACTGTTTCATGTTTTCTTCCCCTAAACCCCTTCCCAGAGCCCTCCTGCAATGCACTCCTTGTTCCAGATTTTTGTCATATGTATAATGCCTAAACAGATATTTCTTTCAGACTCATCGATTTTTCCCCTCATCGATTCTATTCTATTCTATTCTATTCTATTCTATTCTATTCTATTCTATTCTATTCTATTCTATTCTATTCTATTC